CGGGGAGGGTAATTTACGATGCCATAAAAATCTCCAGCAAGCATGCAAAGAATGAGGAAGTACTTCATCAGTGTCACAAAAAGACGGTGAAGCGACAGCTCCCCTGGTGGTCAGAATACCCCCATGAAAAAAAGCTGGAATGTTAAATAGCCTCTGTGTGTCTGTCTATATATGTTGTGTGCCTATAGCATTGAATGTTTGCCATGTATATGTACATTGTAATCCGCCCTGAGTCCCCTGCAGTCCCCCTGTACATAAATAAATAAAACGATTCTTAAGTTTTCTTTTTAAAAACCACTAAGATTTCTGGTGGAAGTCCTGTGGCGGCCATTTTGGGGGCTGCAAAATCCCACAACAAAGCAGCATGAGCAACGGAGGCAGAAATCCGGGGATCAACAGGTCTGTATCTGGACATCTTCTCCGATCCTGCAGCAGGTTTCATACCTTTTTGTGTGTATCAGGAGCAACTTGAGAAACTTCATGTCACTTCTGGTGTGAGAGAATTGGCCATCTGCAAAGACCGTTGCCCAGGGGATGCCCAGATGTTTTACCATCCTTCTGGGAGGCTTCTCTCATGTCCCCGCATGGAGAGCTCGAGCTGACAGAGGGAGCTCATCCGTGCTCTCCTCGGATTCGAACCTGCGACTTGTCTGTCTTCAGTCCTGCTTAGGCCTCTTCTACACCACCCTGTATCCCAGGATCTGATCCCAGATTATCTGCTTTAGACTGGATTATAGGAGTCTCCATTGCAAGATAATCTGGGATCAGAAGATAATCAGGGATCAGATCCTGGGATATAGGGGCAGTGTGGAAGGGACATTAGATCAGCCATCCTTAAACTATGGCCCTCCAGCTGTTTGGACCTCTAACTCTTGACCACAGTTATTGACTTCCACTGTTATTGACTTCCATATTTCATACATTTGTAGTTTCTCCTTCGTAGTAATTGATTTGGGGCTGCAGTGGGGCAACGGATTGAACTGCTGAACCTGCCGACCGAAAGATGTCAGGATTATTCAGTTATGTATGTGTGTTTTTCAATGTGTTTCTATGTAATTCAAGATGGATTAAGATGTATTTCAAGATGGATTCTATTCTGTTCAATTGTGTATTAGAAAATACTGTGCTGAGGCTGCAAAACTGTAACCTTGACAGAAATGAGATAACGTGTTCTCTGGCTGGGAAGAAGAGGGAGGAACTGGTCTCAGCCAGAAGTCAGATAAGCAGATGTTCAGAGACTGTTGTTTTTTGCCTTGTAGTTCCTGCCTGTAGCTTGCTGTGAATAGACATGTGTAGATGTACTTAGTAAAACTTAGTTTTCTGTTATAACTGAAAGCTTGCAGAGTCCTTATTTTTGCAACACAGTGTCTGCTGATCTAGCAATCCTTCCGCTGGCAAACTTCAATACTCTGACAAAAGATTGGCAGTTCAAAGCCGCAGGACAGAGTGAGCTCCCACTGTGAGCCCTAGCCTTTGCCAACCTAGCACTTTGAAAACATGCAAATGTGAGTAGACCAATAGGTACCACCTGTCAGAACAGGCAAAGAATCAGTGAGTGTGTGTGTGTGTAACTATAAAAAATGCATGAGGTCAATTGGTTGGGCAATGCATAGGGTGATGGCTGAGCCTAGAACTTTTGGATACTGTTGTAATTTTGTTCAGGCTCAAGCTATGCAGGTGTTCAGTGAGATGAAAAGAAAAGCAGAGAGAGGCAGACTGATTTGCTTCTTGGCTGCTGGAAGAAGGTCTCTCATATGGACAAAGAAATACCATTCCAATTCTCTCTGAAAGGACATTTAGTGAGTTGATGCAACTGATCATATCGTACATATGTGGTTCTGAATTAAGAAGAGTAAGCTACTTGTTCTTTATTGTTCACCTGCATGGCATATTTTCTTTCCTTGGCAAGGCTAATCCAACATGAACTACACATGGTTTATTTTACATTCCGCCTGGGTGGGATGATAATAAAATGCGCCCATGCAGACATACCGGCAACACGACCAGGAGGTGTCTAGAGACAACAGGCTCCTTGGTTTGGAAATGGAAAAAGAGCACCTCCCCATGTTCAGAATTGAGCACCGCCTCCAGAAAGCCAGAGATGAAAGGGGAAGCTTTCACCTTTGTTTGTGTATTGTATGTCATTGTTATTCCACTGTATTAAAAGGTATTGAATGTTTGCCTATCTGCGTATGTTGTTATCTGGTCTGAGTCCCCACAGGGAGATAGAGCAGAATACAAATAAAGTGTTGTTATAGATTACAGTGTTCCCTCGCTACTTGGAGATTCGCTTTTCGCGGACTCGCTGTTTCGCGGGTTTTTGCCTCCTGGCAACGATGGAGTGTGGAAGGGGGTTTTACCCTCATCCTTGGGAGAGAGTAAGGCAATCATAAAAAAAGAGAGAGAGAGGAGATACAAAGCAGTATGTACATCGCGGCCTTATAGCCCCTTCCATATAGCTAGCAAAAAAAAAAAAGTGTGCAGTGCCTTTAAATCTCTCCTTGCTTCTGCCTCACTCTCAGAATGGGATGTGTGTGTGTATATATATGTGCGTGTGTATTAGCATCCCTACTTCATGGATTTTCACTTTTCGGGGTGGTCCTGGAACTTAACATCCATGATAAGTGAGGGAACACTGAATTATTACCCTTTCAAGAGCATGTAAGTCACTGAAAGGGCATTTGGAAGGCTAAAGTCCAGGTGGGGATGTCTTTCTTCTTGCTTGACAGTAGTCAAGGAGAACTACATACCTATTGTGTCTGCATGTGTCGTTCTGCACAACAAATGGATATGCATTTGCTCCTAAGGTTGAAGCACAAGGAGAATATAAAGTGTTGTTGTTGTTATTGTTGTTAGGTTCTTGTAGGTTTTTTCGGGCTATAGGGCCATGTTCTAGAGGCATTTCTCCTGACGTTTCGCCTGCCTCTATGGCAAGCATCCTCAGAGGTAGTGAGGTTTCTTACCTCTGAGGATGCTTGCCATAGATGCAGGCGAAACGTCAGGAGAGAATGCCTCTAGACATGGCCATATAGCCCGAAAAAACCTACAAGAACCTAGTGATTCCAGCCATGAAAGCCTTCCACAAAGTTATTGTTGTTACTACTACTACTATTACTACTAGCCGTCCTTGCCAGGTGTTGCTGTGGCCCAATCTGGTGATCTGGAAAATAAAGTAACAAGAAAGTGTTGGTTTCCAATATATGTAATTTCTTTATGCTGTGGGTAAACAGTACTTCTTGTTGCTTCTTTGTCCGTGTTGATGTGGAGATTGTCTGGTTTGCCTACTCTGGAACATGCATTGTCCTTTGTCCTTCATTGTCCTTCTTTAGGAGTCCCTTTCAAATCTAGGATACTCGTATATCTGTCACATACATATATACGTGTGTGTGTGTGAATCATATATATCCATCTATAACTATGGCTGGATGGCTTTTTGTCAGGAGGTCTTTGATTATGTCTTCTTGTCCTGGTGAAGGGAGGTGGACTGGATGGCCTTAAGGCAGCATCTCTCAACCTGGGGGTCAGGACCCCGGGGGGGGGGGATCACGAGGGGGTGTCAGAAGGATTGCCAAAGACCACCAGAAAATATAGTATTTTCTGTTAGTCATGGGGGTTCTGTGTGGGAGGTTTGGCCCAATTCTATCATTGGTGAGGTTCAGAATTCTCTTTGATTGTAGGTGAACTATAAATCCCAGCAACTACAACTCCCAAATGTCAAGGTCTATTTTCCCCAAACTCCATTTGTGTTCACATTTGGGCATATGGAATATTTGTGTCAAGTTTGTTCCAGATCCATCATTGTTTCAGTTCACAGTGTTCTCTGGATGTAGGTGAACTACAACTCCCAAACTCAAGGTCAATGCCCACCAAACCCTTCTAGTGTTTTCTGTTGGTCATGGGAGTCCTGTGTGCCAAGTTTGGTCCAATTCCATCTTTGGTGGGGTTCAGAATGTTCTTTGATTGTAGGTGAACTGTAAATCCCAACAACTACAAATTCCAAATGACAAAATCCATTTTTGAGTGATGGTCACTCCTTGGGTTAGTAAGTGTCTTGTGTCCAAATTTGGTGTCAATTCGTCCAATGGTTTTTGAGTTATGTTAGTCCCACAAATGAACATTACATTTTTATTTATACAGATTTCATGTGATTGAAGGGATGTCCCAGGATGCCTCCATTGAACTTGCTTTTGAGAATTTTTCTGACCTTTGAATGTATTCTTTGCTGACCACAGTTTTCACATGTTCATGTTTGATGTTGTCCAGCTGTGGTATGCCCAGATATTTATAGGCCTCTGACTGGTGACACTTGATCGCTTGGCCATTGGGCATATTTATGCCCTCACTTTCCATGATTTTTCCTTTCTTCAGTGTCACTGTCGAACATTTGTCCAAACCAAACTCCATGTTGATATCAGTGCTAAAGATTCTGACAGTGTTAGTCAGAGACTGGATCTCGGTTTCGGTTTTCCCATACAGCTTCAGGTCATCCATGTACAACAGATGTGAAATTTTGTGAGATTTCTTAAATGTTGATAGCCCAGGTTTGTTTTTTGTAAGGTTGTTGACAGAGGGATCATGGCTTGACAGTAGTCAAGGAGAACTACATACCTATTGTCTGCATGTGTCGTTCTGCACAACATCTGCACGACAAGAGAACATGTACTTGCTCCTGAGATTGAAGCGCGAGGAGAATATAAAGTGTTGTTGTTGTTATTACTATTTTCATGTGACTGAAGTTTTCCAGTCTGGGTTGTTGTAGTTTTTTTTTGGGCTATATGACCATGCTATAGAGGCATTCTCTCCTGACGTTTCGCCTGCATCTATGGCAAGCATCCTCAGAGGTAGTGAGGTCTGTTGGAACTAGGAAAATGGGTTTATATATCTGTGGAATGATGTCCAGGGTGGGGCAAAGAACTCTTGTCTGTTGGAGCTAGGTGTGATGTTTCAACTGACCACCTTGATTAGCATTTGATGGCCTGCCAACACTCATAAAAATGGCCCTGATTGTTTCCAGTCTGTTGTTTTGCTGTTGTAATTTTAGAGTTTTTTTTAATATTGGTAGCCAGGTTTTGTTCATTTTCATGGTTTCCTCCTTTCAGTCTCTTTTCACATTCCAAGTATTTCATATGGTTTCTCCGTTGTATGAATTTTCTGATGTATATGCAAATGGTAGTTGCGACTGAAGTTCTTTCCGCATTCCATGCACGTGTAAGGTTTTTCTCCCGTATGCGTTCTTTGATGTAAATACAGAGACCCACTATTAGTAAAGCTCTTTTCACACCCCATACATTGATATGGTTTCTCTCCCGTGTGGGTTCTTTGATGGGAGTGCAGATGTCCACTCTCCCGGAAGGTCTTGCCACATTCAGGACATACGTATGGTTTTTCTCCCGTGTGAGTTCTCTGATGTGACTGAAGATGTCCACCCTCGCGGAAGCATTTCCCACACTCCATGCACTTATAAGGTTTCTCCTCTGTGTGGATTCTCTGATGCGTGAGCAGAATTGCATTCGAATTGAAACTCTTCCCACATTCCATGCACACATATGGTTTTTCTCCTGTATGGGTTCTTTCATGTGCACACAGAGATCCATTCTGTTTGAAACTCTTTCCGCATGCCATGCACTTGTAAGGCTTCTCTCCTGTGTGACTTCTTTGATGTGCCTTCAGATAGTCATTCCGATTGAAGCTCTTCCCACATTCCATGCACGTGTATGGTTTCTCTCCCGTGTGCTTTCTCTCATGTAAATACAGAGATCCACACTGGCTGAAGCCCTTTCCACATGTCAGGCACATATATGGTTTCTCTCCTGTGTGGGTTCTTTGATGCGCATCTAGATTTCCACTGTTAGTGAAGCTCTTTCCACACTCATCACACGTATAGGGTTTCTCCCCTGTGTGTGTCCTTCGATGTAAACGCAAGTGTCCATGTCGACGGAAGCTTTTCCCACATTCATCACATTTATAGGGTTTCTCTCCCGTGTGGGTTCTCTGATGTGCGTGTAGGTAACCTCTCCGAGTGAAGCTCTTCCCACATTCCATACATATGTATGGTTTTTCTCCCGTGTGCGTTCTCCGATGGACATCTAAAAGTCCACTGTTGATGAACCTCTTTCCACATTCCTCGCATACGTAAGGTTTCTCCCCTGTGTGGGTTCTTTGATGCGCATCTAGATTTCCCCTGTTCGCAAAGCTCTTTCCGCATTCGCTACAGATATATGGCTTCTCTCCCGTGTGGGTTCTTCGATGCGACTGAAGACTTCCAATGTAACTGAAGCTCTTTCCACATTCGGGGCAGTTATATGGTTTCTCTCCAGTGTGGGTCCTTTGATGTTTGACGCACGATTCACTATGACTGAAGCTCTTTCCACATTCCGTGCATTGATAAGGTTTCTCGCCCGTGTGGGTCCTGAGGTGCGAACGCAGATTCCGATCCCGACTGAAGCGCTTTCCGCATTCAGGGCAGATATAGGGCTTCTCTCCCGTGTGGGTTCTTTCGTGTGACTGCAGAGACCCACTCTGACTGAAGCTCTTTCCACATTCCGGGCACGTATAGGGTTTCTCCCCCGTGTGGGTCCTTTGATGGGACAGGAGGCTCCGACTCACGCTGAAGCTCTTTTCGCATTGCAGGCATTTGTAAGGCTTCTCCCCTGTGTGGATCCGTTGATGCAAATACAGATTCCCACGCTGAATGAAGGTTTTCCCACACTCCGCGCACCGAAATGGTTTTTCACCCGTGTGGCTTCGGCAGTGTGCGTTCAAAAGCCATTTATCTTTGAAGGCTTTCCCACAGACGGGACAGTTTTCTTTTCGTTCTCCTTGGGGATTTTCCTGCAACGTCAGGAGTTCACCGCCGTCATGCCACTGAGAAGCAAATGGATCCGTCCTTCCTGTTTCTGGTGGGTTTCCTTCGTCCCTTTCCCATCTCTCTTCATATTCCAAAACTTCTTGGCTCGTTTGATGCTGTCTTACTTCTGGGGGTATTAGAGGTGCCTCCAAATAATTCTCATGCTCTTGCTCATTTTCAGCTTGAGGAAAAAGAAAAAGAAAATCACATTTATTATTTATTATTTACTAGATGTACCTGCCACGTGTTTATTATTTATTATTATTTATCTATTTACGCTATTTCTACCCCGCCCATATCAGCCCGAAGGCGACTCAGGGCGGTGTATAGAGTCGGCACAATTCGATGCCATATATAAAATACTGTATATTCTGGCTGTACCAGGAGCTCCAACTTTATTTTCTTTCTGTTATCTGTTTGCAGTCATAGGGCAGGCCTCCTGTCCATCATAATTAAGCTTTGGTTCCGCCCCTTGTTCAGGGCTCTGGGAGGGAAAGGAGCCATTTTTTGGGCAGTCTCACACAAGGTAGCTAAGCTATAGGATGTAGACCAGCTTGTCCCATAGAAAAGCTTCCTTTCTCAATAACATCCAGGGATACAGAAACAGAAATTCCGGGAAAAAGGTCCCAAGGCTCTGGCTGAGAGCTCACAGCCTCTCAGCCTCACAGCAATCAGAGGGAAAACAGCCCTGAAGTTTCAAAGAATTCTCGGAGGGAGGACAGCATTACAGATCCACTGAACTCCAGCTGAAATATCTTCAAGCCTCGGCTGGTAGGTCTACTCAATACCCAGACGCATTTGGAATCGGTAGTAGGACCCACACTGATGAGGCATAGATAATAGGCAGCCTGGGAGAGGTTAAAAAGGGTTTTCTTACAGAGAAAGTACAGTTAATTAAAGTCAGGTTCCAGTCCATTGAGGACTAGACTAAGAAAGCCTTGAAGTGTTGTTTGAACCTTTGAAGATTTGTTGTTTGTTCCATAATAAAGACTTTGTTGTATCATTAAAGACTCCAAAAACCATCACTTCAGAAAAATCCCTGAGAACCTCTCTTTGAGGCGCCCCCGGTTTCCCGCTGGGCTTAAAGTATGCGTTCTATAGAAAAGTTCAACTGTTACAGGTATCAGGATTATTGAAAGTATGCATGTATGTTTTTTCATGTGTTTCAATGTGCTTAACAATGGTATTCATAATATATTCAAGATGGATTCAGTTATGTTCAATTGTATGCTGGAATTGTTGTTGTGTGGGACAGAGAGGTAGAGAGAGAAGAGACCTTGGAAGAAATAAGATAACAAGTTCTCTCTGTCTGGGAAGAATTAGGGAGTAGCCGGCTTGCAGCCAAAGTGAAACTGATAAGCAGATGTTCTGTAACTGCATTGTAGCTGTGCTTTGTAGTTCCTGATTAAGCTCGCTTGGAAGTAGACATGTATTAAGATGTGCTAAGTAAACTTTATTTTCTGAAACTGGCAGACTGCAGTGTTCTGTTTTGTGTCTGTGTGATCTAGTAACCTCATCTCCGCTGCACGTAGACCCCAGGGTCTCACTCTGATAACAGGCCCAGCGCGCGACAGAACACTGGCGTATAAGACTATTTTTTAACCTAAGAAAATCTTCTCAAAAGTCAAGGGTCGTCTTATACGCGGGAGTAGTCTTATACACTGGAGTCGCCTTATATGCTAGAGTAGCCTTATGCATGGGAGTCGTCTTATATGCAGGAGTAGTCTTATATGCTGGGGGCCATCTTATAGAGCAGGTGCTGAAACTGCCCTGAGTCCCGTCGGGGAGATATTATTATTATTATTATTATTATTATTATTATTATTATTATTAGCTGTCCCCTGCCAGGCGTTGCTGTGGCCCAGTCTGGTGAACTAGAAAATAAAGGAATGAGAAAGTGTTGGTTTCTAACATATGTAATTTCTTTCTGCTTGTGGGTAAACAGTATTTCTTGCTGTGTCTTTGTCAGTGTTGATGTGGAGATTGTCTGGTTTGCCTATTCTGGAACATGTATCCTTCTTTAGGTGGCCCTTGCAAATCTATGATACTATATCTCTCTGTGTGTGAATCATATCTATCTATCTATATCTATGGCTGGATGGCTCTTTGTCAGGAGGGCTTTGATTACGTTTTCTTGCCCTAGTGAAGGGAGTTGGACTGGGTGGCCTTTTCTGTTGGTCTTGGGGGTTCTGTGTGGGAAGTTTGCCCTATTCTGTTGTTGGTGGGGTTCAGAACGCTCTTTGATTGTAGGTGAACTATAAATCCCAGTAACTACAACTCCCAAATGTCAAAGTCTATTTCCCCCCAAACTCCATCTGTGTTCCTAGTTAGCCATATGGAATATCTGTGCCAAGTTTGGTCCAGATCCATTATTGTTTGAGTCCACAGTGCTCTCTCGATGTAGGGGAACTACAACTCCCAAACTCAAGGTCAATGCCCACCAAATCTTCCCAGTAGTTTCCTGCTGTTCATGGGAGTTCTGTGTGCCAAGTTTGGTTCAATTCCATCATTGGTGGAGTTCAGAATACTCTTTGATTGTATGTGAACTATACATCCCAGCATCTACAACTCCCAAATGTCAAGTCTATTTCCCCCAAATTTCACCAGTGTTGAAATGTGGGCACATTGAGTGTTCATGCCAAGTTTGGTCCAGATCCATCATTGTTTGAGTCCACAGTGCTCTCTGGATGTAGGTGAACTACAACTCCCAAACTCAAACGTCAATGCCCATCAAACCCTTCCAGTATTTTCTCTTGGTCATGGGAGTTCTGTGTGCCAAGTTTGGTCCAATTCCATCATTTGTAGAGTTCAGAATAATATTTGATTATAGGTGAACTATAAATCCCAGTAACTACAACTTCCAAATGTCAAGATCTATCAAAGGGATCCCTTACCCGCAGGAGCCACTTTGCCATCATCCTCCACCTTGACATCCTTGACATTGCAGACATCCTTCTGGCCCGGATCCAGGAGATCCCATTCCGGCTTCACAACATACATGGTTATCTCCATAAAGGAAACCTAGAGCTGGAAGGGAAGAAAGCATAGAACACTGAACCAACAAACAACAATCCAATTGAATCAGTTTAACTGAACAGTTCAACCTCCAGATGTTTTGGACTTCAACTCCCACAATCCTGAATTCACCTCGTCATTTGAGGATGATGGTCTTTCACATGTAATGTCTTGGCGATGGGTCCGTAGGTGGCTGTGGAGCCTGATTCTTGATCCACATGTTCTCCTGCAGTGATGACATTGGTTTCCAGACAGAAGGCGGTTCTGGTAAGGATTGGCTTGACGTGCCTTCCTCTTGGCACGTTTCTCCCTTTCGCCCTCTACTTGCGCTTTTTCGAATTCTGCAGCACTGCTGGTCACAGCTGACTTCAAGCTGTGATGGCCATCTGTCAGGAGTGCTTTGAAGGTGGTTTTCCTGCTTCTAGGCAAAATTGGGTTGGACTGGATGGCCCACCAGGTCTCTCTCAACTCTAAGAGTCTATGATTCTATTAAGCACACAGGGACATAGAAACAAAACTAATCATAGCTATGAATTATCATAATATCGATGAAACTTGGAGATGGAAGAGACCCCAAAAAGCCATCTAGTCCAACCCCATTCTGCCTTCATGCAGGAAAACAAAGTCAAATCCCTCCCAATTGACCAAATTGGGCAAAAAAATTCCAATACGGCCAAATTTGAATACTGGTAGGAGTGGAATGGGGATTGATTTTGTCATTTGGGAGTTGTAGTTGCTGGGATTTATAGTTCACCTACATCCAGAGAGCACTGTGGACTCAAACAATGATGGATCTGGACCAAACTTGGTACGGATACTCAATACACCCAAATTTAGGGAAAATAGACCTTGACATTTGAGAGTTGTCGTTGATGGGATTTATAGTTCACCTACAATCAAAGAGTATTCTGAACTCCACCAATGATGGAATTGAACCAAACTTGGCACACAGATCCCCCATGACCAACAGAAAATACTGGAAGGCTTTGGTGGGCATTACCCTTGAGTTTGGGAGTTGTAGTTCACCTACATTCAGAGAGCACTGTGGACTCTAACAATGCTGGATCTGGACCAAACTTGGCAAGAATAGTGAATATGCCCAAATGTGAACCCTGGTGGAATTTAGGGAAAATAGACCTTGGCATTTGGGAATTGTGGGATTTATAGTTCACCTACAATCCAGAGAGCACTGTGGACTCAAACAATTATGGATCTGGACCAAACTTGGTACGGATACTCAATATGCCCAAATGCCAACACTGTTGGAGTTTGGGGAAAATAGATCTTGACATATGAGAGTTATAGTTGCTGGGATTTATAGTTCACCTACAATCAAAGAACATTCTGAACTCCACCAATGATAGATTTGAACCAGACTTGGTACACAGAACTCCCATGACCAACAGAAATGACTGTGTTTTGTGTTGGTCTTTGTTGACCCCTCTGACACCGTCTCACGACCCCCCCAGGGACCGTGACCCCCTAATTGAGAAACACTGCTTTAAAGAGTATGTTAATGTGTTTGTCTCTGTACAGGTGGAGTATCTCTTATCCAAAATGCTTGGAACTAACAGTACTTGGGATTTTCCCCTCCCCAGATATTTTAAATTATTATTATTATTAATAATAATAATAATAATAATAATAATAGTCCAAGTATTATTATATATACTCCAAGTGGCCAGCTACTGGTCAAAGGACATTTAATCAACTACCAAGCTTGCAAACTTTGTGTTTTGTTTGTTTGTTTGTTTGTTTGTTTGTTAAAAATGCAATACAACTGTTTGGTTCACTCCTGACACAAATAATAATAATAATAATAATAATAATAATAATAATAAATACCCCACTTGATCTCTCCCACAGGAGACTCAAAGCAGCTTAACATAAAATTAAAAATATACAAATCTGCAAGCATTACAAAAAAGGTGTTGTCGAAGGCTTTCACGGCTGAAATCACTGGGCTGTTGTGGGTTTTCCAGGCTGTCTGTCCATGTTCCTGCAGCATTCTCTCCTGATGTTTCGCCGATATCTGTGGCAAGTATCCTCTGAGGTTGTGAAGGTCTGTTGGAAACTAGGAAAATTTCTATATCTGTGGAATGATGTCCAGGGTGGGAGAAAGGACTTTTGTCTGTCTGAGCCAGGTGTGAATGTTACAATTGGCCCCCTTGATTAGCACTGAATGGCCTTTGCAGCTATTCAAAAGCGATTGAATCGCCTTGCAGAGAAGCCACTGAAATCCACAAGCATGTGGATAATTTCAACAGAAAGGAGGAAACCATGCAAATGAACATCTGGCTACCAGTACTAAAACGTTCCAAAATCAGGACAGTAAATAAATAACAACACCCTGAAAACGGTGGAATTCCAGGCAGGAAACAATCAGGGCCAGCTAACACCTCCCAACAAAGGATTCCCCACAGGCAGGAAGGAGTCAGGCTTTGAAGCTGCAAGCCCATTCAATGCTAATTAAGGTGGCCCATTGCAACATTCACGCCTCCAACAGACAAAAGTTCTTTCTCCTACCTTGGACATCATTCCAGAGGTATATCTATATATATAAATCTCGCATCTATGTCAAGCATCCTCAGAGGTTGTGAGGTCTGTTGGAAACACTTGCCTAGTCTCCAACAGACCTCACAACCTGTGACGATGCTTGACATAGATGTGGGTGAAACGTCAGGAGAGAATTCTTCTGGAACATGACCAGACAACCAGGAAAACTGACAGCAACCCAATACAAAAAGAATTAAATATACAGTATTTTAAAAATTCCCAGTTAAAAACCACTGAAATATATTAAATGCAGTGGACTTTAGAGCTACCTTCCATATCCAAGATACTAGGATACTATAAACAGAGGCTGGTTGGCCCTCTATCGGGAGGGCTTTGATTGCGCCTTCCTGTATAGCAGAAGGGGCTGGACTGGATGGCCTTGAGGACTCCCTTCGAAGCCTAGGAGTCTATAAACAGAGGCTGGTCAGCCATCTATTTGGGCTTCTTTGATTGTGTCTTCCTCCCTAACAAGCCTAGGATTCTATAAACACACGCATCTGTGAGGAGGGATTTGATTGTGCCTTCCTCCCTAGCAGAAGGGAGTTGGACAGGATGGCCCTCCCAACCCTAGGATTCTATAAACGAAGGCAGGCTGGCCATCTGTTGGTGGTGCTTTGATTGTGCATTCCTCCCTAGCAAGCCTAGGAATCTATAAGCAGAGGCAGGCTGGCCATCTGTTGGGGCTGCTTTGATTGTGTCTTCCTCCCTTGCAAGCCTAGGATTCTATAAACAAAGGCAGGCTGGCCATCTGTTGGTAGTGTTTTGATTGTGCCTTCCTGTACAGCAGAAGGGGGCTAGACTGGATGGCCTTGAGGGCTCCCTTCCAAACTTAGAATTCTATAAACAGGGGATTACTGGCCATCTGTTGGTGGTGCTTTGATTGTGCCTTCTTCCTAACAAGCCTAGGATTCTACAAGCAGAGGCAGGCTGGCCATCTGTTGGGGCTGCTTTGATTGTGCCTTCCTCCCTTGCAAGCCTAGGAATCTATAAGCAGAGGCAGGCTGGCCATCTGTTGGGGCTGCTTTGATTGTGTCTTCCTCCCTTGCAAGCCTAGGATTCTATAAACAAAGGCAGGCTGGCCATCTGTTGGTAGTGTTTTGATTGTGCCTTCCTGTACAGCAGAAGGGGGCTAGACTGGATGGCCTTGAGGGCTCCCTTCCAAACCTAGAATTCTATAAACAGGGGATGGCTGGCCATCTATTGGTGGTGCTTTGATTGTGTCTTCCTGCCTAGCAAGCCTAGGATTGTAGAAATAGATCCTGGCTGGCCATCTGTCAGGTGAGCTTGGATTGTGCCTTCCTCCCTAGCAGAAGGGGGCTGGAGAGGATGGCCTTGAGGGCTCCCTTCTAAACCTAGAATTCTATAAACAGGGGGTGGCTGGCCATTTGTTGGTGGTGCTTTGATTGTGCCATCCTCCCTAACAAGCCTAGAATTCTATAAACAGGGGGTGGCTGGCCATTTGTTGGTGGTGCTTTGATTGTGCCTTCCTCCCTAACAAGCCTAGAAGTCTATAAACAGGGGCTGGCTGGCCATCTGTTGGGGTGCTTTGATGGTGCCTTCCACCCTAGACAAGCCTAGGATTCTATAAGCAGAGGGTGGCTGGCCATCTGTTGGTGGTGCTTTGATTGTGCCTTCCTCCCTAACAAGCCTAGGATTCTATAAGCAGAGGCAGGCTGGCCATCTGTTGGTGGTGCTTTGATTGTGCCTTCCTCCCTAACAAGCCTAGGATTCTATAAGCAGAGGCAGGCTGGCCATCGGTTGGTGGTGCTTTGATTGTGCCTTCCTCCCTAACAAGCCTAGGATTCTATAAGCAGAGGCAGGCTGGCCATCTGTTAGGTGCTTTGATTGTGCCTTCCTCCCTAGGAAGCCTAGGATTCTATAAGCAGAGGCAGACTGGCCATTTGTTGGGGCTGCTTTGATTGTGCCTTCCTCCCTAGCAAGCCTAGGATTCTACAAGCAGAGGCAGGCTGGCCATCTGTTAGGTGCTTTGATTGTGCCTTCCTCCCTAGGAAGCCTAGGATTCTATAAGCAGAGGCAGACTGGCCATTTGTTGGGGCTGCTTTGATTGTGCCTTCCTCCCTAGCAAGCCTAGGATTCTACAAGCAGAGGCAGGCTGGCCATCTGTTAGGTGCTTTGATTGTGCCTTCCTCCCTAGCAAGCCTAGGAATCTATAAACAGAGGCAGGCTGGCCATCTGTTGGTGGTGCTTTGATTGTGCCTTCCTCCCTTGCAAGCCTAGGATTCTATAAACAGAGGCAGGCTGGCCATCTGTTGGTAGTGTTTTGATTGTGCCTTCCTATACAGCAGAAGGGGGCTGGACTGGATGGCCTTGAGGGCTCCCTTCCAAGCCTAGGATACTATAAACAGAGGCAGGCTGGCATCTGTTGCTGGTACTTTGATTGTGCCTTCCTCCCTAGCAAGCCTAGGATTCTCTAAGCAGAGGCAGGCTGGCCATCTGTTGGGGCTGCTTTGATTGTGCCTTCCTTTATGGCAGAAGGGGGTTGGACTGGATGGCCTCGAGGGCTCCTCCCCAAGCCTGGTCTGCTCCCACTGCATGCCCTCTCTTGATGAGATGCAAGGGAAGCCTCCCTTCCTTACCTCTTTCTTTGCAGAGAGGCTTGCAAGAAGTAAACAAGCCAAGGCAGGAAGAGGCGGGCCTTTGGCCTGGGCTGCCCACCCCCCCTTTTTCCCCGGGAAGAGGGCGCTTCCGGTGTGGGGGGAAGGTAAGGGGGCTCCCCAAAGAACCCAAAGGCTCTGCTCCTGGTTGGAAAGAGTTGCTTCCTGCTTCCTGGGCTGAGCTGGCTTGCAAAGTGGGGGTTGCACCCCAGGAACTCATCCCTCCTGCCAAGAGAAAGACTGTGCAGCAGCTCCACACACTTTCCCCCTGTTTTTGTGATAGGCTCTGTTCCTATTAGGAAACAATTAGGAAACAATGACATGGATCACCCAGGAACAAAAAAATATATCATAGTGTGACATAGTGCAATATAGGAATATAATATAATTAAAGGAATATAGTACCATTATAATATAAGAACATAATTATATAAGAATGTAATCTATATCAATAAAAATGTAATATTCGTTTGTGGGATCGACATAACTCAAAAACCACAAATTTGGACGCAATGTCAGGCCAACGAGTGACCATCACCTCTAAAAACACACACACACAAAAAACTCCAGCAGAACGGACTTTAAAACCCCCCAAAATAAACCATATGTACATATACACATACATATACACATTCATATACACATGCACACATACATATAGGTTCTTGTGGGTTTTTTCGGGCTATAGAGCCATGTTCTAGAGGCATGGCTCTATAGCCCAAAAAAACCCACAAGAACCTAGTGATTCCAGCCATGAAAGCCTTCGACAATACATTGACACATACATATATACGCAAGCACACACAAATATACACATACACACATATACACCTATATACATATACACATACATACACATATAAACACACATATATGCATATACACAAGCACACACATATACACATGCACACATACATACACACATATATGCGCAAGCACACACAAATATATATACACACACATATATACACCTATATACATATACACATACATACACATATGCATATACATAAGCACACATAAATATATATACACACACACACATATATATACACACACATACATATACACCTACACACATATACATACACACATATATGCATATCCACAAGCACACACATATACACAATATACATATACACGTACAAACACAAATACACAAATATATACAAACGTATACACACATAAACACACACACACATATATACACACAAACACACTTATATACACATATACACAAATATGTACACAGACATAAACACATATATACACACACAAAACACATACAGACACATATATATATACGCAAGCACACACAAATATACACGTACACACAAATATATACACCTATATACATATACACATACATACACATATAAACACACATATGCATATACACAAGCACACACATATACAAAATATACATATACACATGCACACATACAGACACATATATATATACGCAAGCACACACAAATATACACGTACACACAAATATATACACCTATATACATATACACATACATACACATATAAACACACATATGCATATACACAAGCACACACATATACAAAATATACATATACACATGCACACATACAGACAGACACATATACACAAGCACACACAAATATACATGTACACACAAATATATACACCTATATACATATACACATACATACACATATAAACACACATATGCATATACACAAGCACACACATATACAAAATATACATATACACATGCACACATACAGACACATATATATATACGCAAGCACACACAAATATACACGCACACACATATATATACACCTATATACATATACACATACATATAAACACACATATATGCATATACACAAGCACACACATATACACAATATACATATACACACGCACACATACAGACACACACATATATATACACAAACACACACAAATATACACATAAAGTATACACACATACATATACACCTACACACACATACATATATACGCACAAACATATATGCATATACACAATATACATATAAACATATAAACACAGAAATACTCAAAATACAGAAAATCCAACAAATGCTACGTTCAGCAAAGGACAAGAGGGATCCTCTCACCTCTGCAGGAGTCTACCGGATACCATGCAGCTGTGGACAAGTCTACATAGGGACCACCAAACGCAGCAGCATTGCCCAAACACGAATCAAGGAACATGAAAGGCACTGCAGACTACTTCAACCAGAGAAGTCAGCCATAGCAGAGCACCTGATGAACCAGCCTGGACACAGCATATTATTTGAGAACACAGAAATGCTGGACCACTCCAACAACCACCATGTCAGACTACACAGAGAAGCCATTGAAATCCACAAAGCATGTGGACAATTTCAACAGAAAGGAAGAAACCATGAAAATGAACAAAATCTGGCTACCAGTATTAAAAAAATCTAAAATTAAAACAGCAGAGAGAAAAACAGGCAGGGACATCTAATCACCTTTCAAGAAGAGTTTGCCCCAGGCACAGTCAGCCCATTGTATGCTAATCAAGGTGGTCAGTTGAAAAGATTCACACCTAGCCCAACTTACAAAAGCCCTTTGTCTCACCCTGGTCATTCCACAGATATATAAACCCCTTTTTTCCCAGCTCCAGCAGACCTCACCTCTGAGGAAGCTTGCCATAGATGCAGGTGAAACGTCAGGAGAAATGCCTCTAGAACATGGCCACATAACCCGAAAAAACCCACAAGAACTGAATACTCAAAATATATACACACATATATAAATAAACACAAACACATATATACACACACAAATGCACATATACATAGACTGGGCCACAGCAACACATGGCAGGGGACGGCTAGTTTCCAATAATAAGACATAACTGCATTTCGTAATAATCGAGAACTGTGTCCAGGGTGGGAGAAAGAACTCTTGTCTGCCGGAGGCAGGTGTGAATGTTGCCATTGGCCACTTTGATTAGCACTGAATGGCCTTGCAGCTTCAAAGCCCGATGTCCAGGGTGGGTTCTTTCTCCCACCCTGGACATCATTCCACAGGGATATATAAACCCTGCTTGCCTAGTTTCCACATACCTCACAACCTTTGAGGATGCCTGCCATAGATGTGGGTGAAACATCAGGAGAGAATGCTTCTGGAACATGGCCAGACAGCCGGAAAAACTCACAGTATACATTTCTATGCTCTAGCCTGGGAAAGCTAGAAGGCAAACTACGATATTTTGTTTCTACTTAATTTTACAATATTGCAGTCATGTATCAAATCTAAAATGTATACTTTTACGTATTGTTGAAGGCTTTTATGGCTGGAATCACTGGGTTGTTGTAGGTTTTTTCGAGCTATATGGCCATGGTCTAGAGGCATTCTCTCCTGACGTTTCGCCTGCATCTATGGCAAGCATCCTCAGAGGTAGTGAGGTCTGTTGGAACTAGGAAAAAGGGTTTATATATCTGTGGAATGACCAGGGTGGGACAAAGGACTCTTGTCTGCTGGAGCTAGGTGTGAATGTTTCAAATGACCACCTTGATTAGCATACAATGGGCTGACAGTGCCTGGAGCAAACTTTTGTTGAGAGGTGATTAAATGCCCTGAAGCAAAGGACAAGAGGGATCCTCTCGCAAGCACACACATATACACAATATACATATATACACATAAACACAGATATACACAAATATATATACACACACACATATATATACACACAAAACACATATGTACAGACTGGGCCACCAAACGTAGCAGCATTGCCCAAACACGAATCCAGGAACATGAAAGGCACTGCAGACTACTCCAACCAGAGAAATCAGCCATAGCAGAGCACCTGATGAACCAACCTGGACACAGCATATTATTGGAGAACACAGAAATGCTGGACCACTCTCACAACCACCATGTCAGACTACACAGAGAAGCCATTGAAATCCACAAGAAGCATGTGGACAATTTCAACAGAAAGGAAGAGACCATGAAAATGAACAAAATCTGGCTACCAGTATTCAAAAACTCAAAAATTACAACAGCAAAACAACAGAGAGGAAACAAACAAGGACATCTAATCACCTCTCAACAAAAGATTGCTCCAGGCACTGTCAGGCCATTATATGCTAATCAAGGTGGTCAGTTGAAACATTCACACCTAGCTCCAGCAGACAAGAGTCCTTTGTCCCACCCTGGTCATTCCACAGATATATAAACCCTTTTTCCTAGATTCCAACAGACCTCACTACCTCTGAGGATGCTTGCCATAGATGCAGGCGAAACGTCAGGAGAGAATGCCTCTAGAGACCATGGCCATACAGCCCGAAAAAACCTACAACAACCCAGTATACTTTTACCTTTCCTAAAATGCAAAACATATTTTCCTTCCTGTTAGCTAGGCCACAGAATGGTTTCCAGCCTCAGGCAAGAGGCCAGCCCAGCCAGGCCATTGTTCCCCTGGGCCTGGATGTCCTAATCCCATCATCCCCAGCCTCCCCTCCGGACTCTTCCCCACCCCCTGATTTCTAGCCACACAATGGAAGGCTCAGCCAATCCCGGGCCAGGGAGGGAGGATTCAAAGTGTAAACAATGGAACAGACCCTATTTATCTCCTTGCAAGAGCACATGTGGGCAGGCTTGTCCCTTGTCCCTGGATGGATACATCTGCCTCTCTCTGATGTCTTCTGCTGCCTTGGGTGAGTTCATTCTAATCTGGGACTTTAATTCATTGCTAGCATTCCTCCTCAAGTCATTGTGGTCTAGCAGAGGCTGGGTGGCCATCTCTCAGGGGTGCTTTGAATGTGATTTTCCTGCTTCTTGGAAGAATGGGGTTGGACTGGATGGCCCTCGGGGTCTCTTCCAACTCTAGGATTCTATGCAAAGACAATTGGAAAATGACACTGATAACCCAGGAACAAAAATATATTACAGGAATATAAGAATACTAGCCGTCCCCTGCCACACATTGCTGTGGCCCACATTGGGGTTCTGTGTGGGAGGTTTGGCCCAATTCTATCGTTGGTGGGGTTCAGAATG